AAAAAAAAAAAACACGAAGAAAACACGCGTTTACGAACCTGCAAGCAAACTGCCGCGCGTTCGAGCGACAATGATCGAACGAAATTTAGGCAGAGTCAGTGGAACAGACGTCGTAACGAATGGGAATTAGGTGTTCTCGCAATTAGGAGTGGAAGGATAAAGTTTGGTTGGAAAAATTAATAAAAGAGCACGTTCCTCGAGTGCGCCACTGCCTCCAGCTGGCGCCTGCCTCTCGTAGACGTGGCGAAAATAAAATAGAAGACGAGGCCGGATGAAACCGAAGGTGAAGAAACGGGAGGGAAAGCGTGGCGAAAGATCGGGAACGGGGAGGCAAAACGACGGCGAAATGTGTACCGTAGGAACGAATGGCGGCGCGGTAACGAATTGCAAATTAATAGGGAGGATTTACATTTCTCGAGGCAGCTCGGCGGCGGTGAAGGATCGAAAGAGGGGGCCTGGCGATGATAAATTCGTTCGCTCAGCTGTCACCGTTCCTTTTCGTTCCGATCGTTTCCTTCTCTGGTACTATTATACGTTCGCACGGGGAAGCGACCTGTCCAGCGAATGAACACTTGAGCTACGACCTGTCCTGTGTCCAATCAACACCAATCCCCTTTTGAAAGAAAGCTCCCGGGTTATTGTTGAATTTTTTCGCAAATTTTGCTTGCGTCGTTCGCGATCGTCTTCTCGATAAACGATTTCTGAACTTCGTCGTTCGTTTATTGGTTGTCCCAGTCGACAAATTCTTAGAGATGAAATTTGTTATTCGTATTACTGGATCTAAGCCACGTAATCGTAAAATTAACGATGTTCAAGATAATGCATATAAAAATATATCGTATAAATTTAAAACTGGGAGACGTCAGGTAACAATGAGAATGGATAAAGACGAATAAAAGAACATATTCGAGGCAAGAAAACAGGGTGAGAAGAGGAATTATTAATTTGCAGTGAAGCATTTGCGATATTCAAATTTAAAATGCAATGTAATATCTGGTGTTGGGCTCTGATTCGTGAAAGTTGACAGGATACTTCTCGTCAAAATAACGAAGACAGAAATACCAGGATAGACGATAGTTGTTGAAAAATTATTTACGCGAAACGAGTTGATTACAAAAGTCAGAACAAGCGCGTAAAGAAATCCAACAAAATTATAAAATATGAAATTCGATCGATACTTGGATGTCAATTTTGCATCGATAAAAAGAAGAAATGCACACGCTAGTTTACTTCTCATCGTTTTCTAACAACTTCTCAACGAAGCATTTACAGACTGAATGATATTTTAGCCTTGTTCATCTATAGAATACACTAAAATGTGAAACATTCGCATACAAATTGCAACGTGAAGAGAGGTGTGATACAGGTGTGACATAAGCAATCTCGTTGTCTCATTTACTGAAAAAAGGTATTCATTCGCAGAATGAATCACGCGATTACACGCGTAACTTTGCCGATCGATGATCGCGTAAGTTAAGTGAGAGTTACGAAAGCAAGAAACCCCCGCCGAAGGAGAAAAAGAATTCCGATATCGTATTAGAAGCGATAAATCGTAGCTTGTCAAGCAGAATCGACTCGACTTAACGGAGGATAACGAGTTGGGAACTTTGCACGAAAGTCGTTAGCCTTTGAAAATATATACAGGGTGTTTCTTGTAACTTGTGGGACCCACTTTAGGGAGCTGATTCGCCTAAAAATAATGGAAAAAAAGTCATAAAAATCATCTTCGTTTATGAGATACAATGAATTTTCTGTTTTTTAATTACTTTTACAAAAGATGCTCGAAATGACCAGCTTGCATTTGAAGACAAGCCTGCACGCGTCTTGTCATTCATCT